ACGCCTTTAATCCCAGCACTCGGGAGGCAGAGGCAGGCAGATCTCTGTGAGTTCAAGACCAGCCTGGTCTACAATAGCTAGTTCCAGGACAGGCTTCAAAACCACAGAGAAACCCTGTCTCGAAAAACCAAAAAAAAAAAAAAAAAGCTGTTCTCTGACTTTCCACATGCTCAACACGGCACTCAGATGTGTGCAGGTGAGCTGCCACACACAGACATAACTATGCACACACACATACACTATACTCACATCCCCCCACATACTCACATGCAGACACATACAAATAAACACATGTAAAATCTTTTAATTAGAAAAATATAATTTCAAATATAGTCTTCAAATGTTGCTATTTTTTGTCATTCTCTGTCCATTCTCTATCCCAATGTTTCTATATATTTTACATTTAGATTCTAAGAGACACCTTCAATTTTATCTTCAGAAACAGGGAATTATCACTTAAAATTTTCTTTTATATTTATAATGTCCAAATGTCCTACCTGTTGTATTTTATAAATAAGATATTTTTATTTCTTTACTCCTGAAACTATTTTTGCAGTTTCTTTAGTCAGTGACTCTGTTCTCTTTGGGATTGTTTTTTGTTTGTTTGTTTTTCTGTTTGCTTACATCTATGGAGGAGGCAGAGTAAGAGACCTGGTTATGGAAGTCAGGATTCTCCCCAAGCTAGGCAAGCGATGCATCAGTGAAATAACTATATCTCTAGTAGCAGTTTGGTTTTTAAGATGGATGATTTCTGTTTTACTACCAGCCTTGAGATCCTAGGCTGAAGGGATCCTCCTACATCAGCCCCATGTAGAACATAACATGCCAGTGGAAAATTACCCTGCCCTGCCCCTGGCCTACCTCCCGCTAAATTCTTTGACTTGAAAATCGTTGCCCTATGACTTAGCATTAACAGACAAACAATGTTTCAAAACCCAACTCTCACCAATGGACAGGTCTGTCAGAAAAAAAAAAAAACTTAACAGAGAAATAAGGGAACTAACAGATATTATGACTCAAATGAACTTAACAGACATCTACAGAACATTCCACCCAAACACAAAAGAATAATATACCGGGGGCTGGAGAGATGGCTCAGTGGTTAAGAGCATTGCCTGCTCTTCCAAAGGTCCTGAGTTCAATTCCCAGCAACCACATGGTGGCTCACAACCATCTGTAATAAGGTCTGGTGCCCTCTTCTGGCCTTCGGCATACATACAGATAGACTACTATATACATAATAAATAATAAATAAATATTTAAAAAAAAAAAAGAATAATATACCTTCTTCTTAGCACCTCATGGAACCTTCACAAAAACTGACCACACAATTGGTAACAAAGCAAACCTCAACAGATACCAAAAAATTGAAATAACACCATGTATCTTATCGGATCCTCATGGCTGAAAGTTAGAATTCAACAACACTAATTTCAGAAAGCCCACAAACACATGGAAATTGATGTTCAACTGAATCGCCAATGGGTCAAGGAAGAAATAAGAAAGAAATCAAACACTTCTTAAAATTCAATGAAAACGACCTCATAACATACCCAAACTTATGGGACACAAAGAAAGCAGTGCTAAGAGGAAAGTTCATAGCACTAAATGCCTACATAAAGAAGTTGGAGAAATCCCACACTAGCAACTTAACAGTATGCCTGAAAGCTCTAGAACAATAAAAAAACAAAAAACAAAAAAACAAACAAAAAAAGCAAACGCACCCAGAAATAGAAAATAATTAAATTGAGGGCTAAAATCAATATAATAGAAACAAAGAAAACAATACAAATAATCAGTGAGAAAAAGAGTTGGTTCTTCGAGAAAACCAACAAGATTGACCAACTGTTATCCAAACTAACCAAAAGACAGAGAGAGAACATCCAAATTAACAAAATCAGAAATGGAAAGGGGACATAATAACAAACACTTAGAAAATCTAGGAAATCATCAGGTCATACTTCAAAAACCTGTAATAAAATTGGAACAATTTTCTGGAAAAGTACCACATACTAAAATTAAATCCTTCAAAAAGGAGAGCATTAGGAGAGGCTAAAATCAAAAATACTGATGACAGTTATGCTGGAGAGGATATGGAGTAAAGGGAACACTTCTCCATTGCTGGTGGGAGTACAAACTTGAACAGCCTCTATGGAAATCAGTATGGCGGTTTCTTAGAAAATTAGGAATCAATCTACCTCAGACTCACCAATACCACTATTGTGCATACAACCAAAGGATGCACACTCATACCACAAGGACGTTTGCCCAATTATGTTGATAGCAGCATTATTCATAATAGTTGGAACCTGGAAACAACCTAGATTGCCCCTTAAACAATGAATGGACAAAGAAAATGTGGTCTATTTATAAAATAAAGTACTACTCAGCAGTAAAAAAAAATGTTTGAAATTTGTACGCAAATGAATGGAACTGGAAAAAGGCTGAAATCCTATCACCTCTACCAGCACTGATAAAACTGAACCATCTGTAATGAGGTCTGGTGCCCTCTTCTGGCCTACATACAGACAGAATGTTGTATACATAATAAATAAATATTAAAAATTGTATAATATAAGCAATCATCAGAGATAACACAAATGAAAAAAACCACATGATATAGCCACATCTCAGTTAAGAGCTGTTCACAACTGAAGGTAAGGCTCTGGAGAAAAGCAAATACTTGCAAACTATAGGTGGAGTGTAAATAAGTACAGTCACTGCCCAGAGTCATGGGAGAGAAACTGCCCTATGTCACGGAGGACAGTCCTGACTGTTAAGTGATATAGGAGGGCCCATTTCACTGCAGGTGGCACTAGACAGGGGGACCTGGGCTGTATAAGCAAGTAACTGAACACAAATAACCAAGCCAGAGAGAGCGAGTTAGTAAGCACTGTTCCTTATGGTTCTTGCCTTAAATTTCTACCCTGAATTCCCTCAATGATGAACAGTAACCAATAAGTACTTCTTTTATTTATCACAGTAACAGAAAAGAAAGTAGAACAACCATATAACCCAGCAACCCCACTACTAGGTTGTATACCTAAAGGAAATACATCTGAATAAACATGTGCATTCCTGTATTATTGAGGCATTATCCACAATACAGAAAGAAAATGGGAATAATCTACATATTCATCAGCTAAGAGAAGAATAACATGCACACACGCACACATACACACACACACACACACACACTGTATAAGGCCATTAAGCCTCAAAGGGGCTGAAGTCCTATCACCTCTACCAGCACTGATAAAACTGAAGATCATTAGGTTAAGTGAAATAATCCAAGCACAGGAATACAAATGATTTCACTGATACATGGAATCTAAAGAACTGAACTTACAAGAACAGAGTGGAGTGGTGATTACCAGAGGCTGTGGGAGTATGTGGAAATACGGGGGAATGTTTATCAATGGGCATTAAATCATTACATAGATACAAGAAGCTCTGGTGTGCTACTGCACGGGAAGATGACCACAGACAACCGGGATACATAGTATACATTTTAAAAAGAAAAAGAAAAGTAATGAAACTTTTCATTACTATAGAATGAGAAATGTTTGAGGAGATAGATATGTTTAGCCTGGTTTAAACATTCCATATTATATGCCTATATTTAAACATACATTACATGATATCCCATTAGTATGCTCAGTTTTTAATTTTTGTATACTAGCTAGTGTAAATTAAAGACAATTTAACTCCTGCCAAAATACAGCAAAAAGAAAAAGAAAAATCAACCAATGTTTTACGGTTGACACTACTAAAAACAAACCTTTTTCATGCAGTCCACATAATTATTGTACTTTAGGGAATCAGTGGGAAATTCATCAGACTTCATGGGGAAATTAGACACGATGAGCTTTTCCAGAATATGCTTAAGGTTTTCTAGCCTGTCTTCAGTCGGGCTGGTGAAGAACGGGAGGAGAATGAGAGCTTGGCCCTGTGAAGCAATGCAGACAAATGTCAGTCACACTACTTGTGTCTCACAGACCCTACAGAATAAACAATATCACTACTTTCTAAAGACTGCAGATAGTGCGCTACATGGATCCCACAAACGACTTCAGAATAAATTCTGGACGGCACGAAGAACCAGCTTGGATGCAGCTATGTGCCTCAGCTTCAGCGCTGGAGGTCAGAGGCTGACATGAGAGAATATGAGGCTGGAGACTGAGAGCCTGCACTAGTGGAAGGAGTGATGAACAGACTCAGTCAAAACACAGTGTGTCAATGATGAAAGCTTCAAGGATTATATACAAAGATTATATTAAAATTCTATGTAGACAGAATGACTTTCATAACATATAGGAGAGTATATGTTTGCAAATTCCTCTCAGAACTTCATATTGAGCTTATGAGGAAGTAGGTACCTCCTTTGAACAACAGGTAAATTCCAAAATTTTCACATTTGAAGGAGAAACTTCATGAGTCATATAGAACACACCAAAGAATCATCTAATAAAAAAATATGGTCAGGTAGGCGGATCTCTGTGAGTTCGAGACCAGCCTGGTCTACAAGAGCTAGTTCCAGGACAGGCTCCAAAGCCACAGAGAAACCCTGTCTCGAAAAACCAAAAAAAAAAAAAAAAAAAAAAAAAAAAAGAAAATCAAGAA